ATAAGCAGGGAGAGGACTCTTTAAGTAGAGACACTACATACTGATATACACCTGAACATCAGCAGGAGAGGACTCTTTAAAGTAGAGGACACTACATACTGATATAAACCTGAACATTCATCAGGAGAGGACTCTTTAAGTAGAAGACACCTACATACTGATCTTACACCTCGAACCATTCAGCAGGAGAAGAGGACTCTTTAAGTAGAAGCACTACATACTGATATACACCTGAACATCAGCAGGAGAGGACTCTTTAAAGTAGAGACACTACATACTGATATACACCTGAACCTCAGCAGGAGAGGACTCTTTAAAGTAGAGACACTACATACTGATATACACCGGAACATCAGTAGGAGAGGTACTCTTTAAAGTAGAGACACTACATACTGATATACACCTGAACATCAGCAGGAGAGGACTCTTTAAAGTAGAGACACTACATACTGATAATACACTGAACATCAGCAGGAGAGGACTCTTTAAAGTAGAGGACACTACATACGGATATACACCTGAACATCAGCAGGAGAGGACTCTTTAAAGTAGAGACACTACATACTGATATACACCTGACATCAGCAGGAGAGGACTCTTTAAAGTAGAGACACTACATACTGATATACACCTGAACATCAGCAGGAGAGGACTCTTTAAAGTAGAGACACTACATACTGATATACACCTGAACATCAGCAGGAGAGGACTCTTTAAAGTAGAGGACACTACATACTGATATACACCTGAACATCAGCAGGAGAGGACTCTTTAAAGTAGAGACACTACATACTGATATACACCTGAACATCAGCAGGAGAGGACTCTTTAAAGTAGAGGACACTACATACTGATATACACCTGAACATCAGCAGGAGAGGACTCTTTAAGTAGAGACACTACATACTGATATACACCTGAACATCAGCAGGAGAGGACTCTTTAAAGTAGAGACACTACATACTGATATACACCTGAACATCAGCAGGAGAGGACCTCTTTAAAGTAGAGACACTACATACTGATATACACCTGAACATCAGCAGGAGAGGACTCTTTAAAGTAGAGACACTACATACTGATATACACCTGAACATCAGCAGGAGAGGACTCTTTAAAGTAGAGACACTACATACTGATATACACCTGAACATCAGCAGGAGAGGACTCTTTAAAGTAGAGACACTACATACTGATATACACCTGAACATCAGCAGGAGAGGACTCTTTAAAGTAGAGACACTACATACTGATATACACCTGAACATCAGCAGGAGAGGACTCTTTAAGTAGAGACACTACATACTGATATACACCTGAACATCAGCAGGAGAGGACTCTTTAAAGTAGAGACACTACATACTGATATACACCTGAACATCAGCAGGAGAGGACTCTTTAAAGTAGAGACACTACATACTGATATACACCTGAACATCAGCAGGAGAGGACTCTTTAAAGTAGAGACACTACATACTGATATACACCTGAACATCAGCAGGAGAGGACTCTTTAAAGTAGAGACACTACATACTGATATACACCTGAACATCAGCAGGTGAGGACTCTTTAAAGTAGAGACACTACATACTGATATACACCTGAACATCAGCAGGAGAGCACTCTTTAAAGTAGAGGACACTACATACTGATAATACACCTGAACATCAGCAGGAGAGGACTCTTTAAAGTAGAGACACTACATACTGATATACACCTGAACATCAGCAGGAGAGGACTCTTTAAAGTAGAGACACTACATACTGATAACACCTGAACATCATTCAGGTGAGGACTCTTTAAAGTAGAGACACTACATACTGATATACACCTGAACATCAGGCAGGAGAGGACTCTTTAAAGTAGAGACACTACATACTGATATACACCTGAACATCAGCAGGAGAGGACTCTTTAAAGGAGAGACACTACATACTGATATACACCTGAACATCAGCAGGAGAGGACTCTTTAAAGTAGAGACACTACATACTGATATACACCTGAACATCAGCAGGAGAGGACTCTTTAAAGTAGAGACACTACATACTGATATACACCTGAACATAACATCAGCAGGAGAGGACTCTTTAAAGTAGAGACACTACATACTGATATACACCTGAACATCAGCAGGAGAGGACTCTTTTAAAGTAGAGACACTACATACTGATATACACCTGAACATCAGCATGGAGAGGACTCTTTAAAGTAGAGACACTACATACTGATATACACCTGAACATCAGCAGGAGAGCACTCTTTAAAGTAGAGACACTACATACTGATATACACCTGAACATCAGCAGGAGAGCACTCTTTAAAGTAGAGACACTACATACTGATATACACCTGAACATCAGCAGGAGAGGACTCTTTAAAGTAGAGACACTACATACTGATATACACCTGAACATCAGCAGGAGAGGACTCTTTAAAGTAGAGACACTACATACTGATATACACCTGAACATCAGCAGGAGAGCACTCTTTAAAGTAGAGACACTACATACTGATATACACCTGAACATCAGCAGGAGAGGACTCTTTAAAGTAGAGACACTACATACTGATATACACCTGAACATCAGCAGGAGAGGACTCTTTAAAGTAGAGACACTACATACTGATATACACCTGAACATCAGCAGGAGAGGACTCTTTAAAGTAGAGACACTACATACTGATATACACCTGAACATCAGCAGGAGAGGACTCTTTAAAGTAGAGACACTACATACTGATATACACCTGAACATCAGCAGGAGAGGACTCTTTAAAGTAGAGACACTACATACTGATATACACCTGAACATCAGCAGGAGAGGACTCTTTAAAGTAGAGACACTACATACTGATATACACCTGAACATCAGCAGGAGAGGACTCTTTAAAGTAGAGACACTACATACTGATATACACCTGAACATCAGCAGGAGAGGACTCTTTAAAGTAGAGACACTACATACTGATATACACCTGAACATCAGCAGGAGAGGACTCTTTAAAGTAGAGACACTACATACTGATATACACCTGAACATCAGCAGGAGAGGACTCTTTAAAGTAGAGACACTACATACTGATATCAACCTGAACATCAGCAGGAGGGGACTCTTTAAAGTAGAGACACTACATACTGATATACACCTGAACATCAGCAGGAGAGGACTCTTTAAAGTAGAGACACTACATACTGATATACACCTGAACATCAGCAGGAGAGGACTCTTTAAAGTAGAGACACTACATACTGATATACACCTGAACATCAGCAGAATATAGGACCTTTAAAGTAAAAGTATTTACTACGCAATAAAATACAGTTTGTTAATATTAAATATGATGTTTTAGTGTTAATATTGCTGCTATATTATTGTATACTGGGGGCAGTTTACCTGTTCAGTTCTCCAGTCAGAGCAGCCAGTAAGGAGCTCTTCCCACAGCCGACCTTCCCCACCACAACCACCAGGGAGCCCTGAAGACACAATGATATAATCAGACTCATTAACTCCTCTGATGTATCTGGTGTGCTAAGTGAAAGGTGTCCTATCATGCAAAAGTCACTTTTTTATGTCTTCTCTACATCAACATGTGTCCCCGGTGCGTCGGGGAACTCACGCAGCGTCAGAAAATAAAACCCTCTCTCTTTTCCTCTGTACCCAAATCTCTAAAAACGGGGAACAACGGAGCTGATCCAGATTTGCGTCCGATATGACGTAATATCTGAAATGTGGACCCACGGCCCAATCAGAAACGTTGCTATCAGAAACAATGCCTGACTGTTTTGGACGAAATATGGTCGGTGTTTACATTAGCATCGCTAACACTCAGAGCTAACCTGTACTGGAGAGCATGTGTGTGAAGAAGCAGGAAGTAAAAAGGAACTCATTGTGGTATAACCGGCAAGAGAGAAAGCCTTTGAGCTCCAAATTGTTTCAGAGAGAATCCTTGAAGTGGTTTTGAACATGATATGGTGTTTAACCATTTAGCTGAGTATCTTTTTTTCAACAAAAAAAATGTTAAGCTAAGGACCCAGAATCAGCAGTTCTCTAACAGGGCTTATATAGAGGGATATGAGGGATGTCTAAAATGCACGATCTGTTTGGTATTTTGAGCACATACTGTAGGACATGTTTTTATAGATCCCCATAATATATGCCTAACAATAGCCTGATAGGAGATCTTTAAGAGCTGTCAGCATGAAGGCAGTACAGTGCGTGCGTGCGTGCGTGCGTGCGTGCGTGCGTGCGTGCGTGCGTGCGTGCACCTTGGTGATGTGCAGAGAGAGGCTGTGCAGCCGCAGACTTCCTTTGGACTCTCCAGGATCAGTTCCTCTGTCTTCGTTCTGGTCCGGACCGTCGGGGTCCTGCCAGGAAAAAGTCCCCTGGCTCATCAGGACGGACGTCTGACCGTCTTCAGGAGACACTACGACAGATGTGGAAGGACATTTTATTATATATAGTGATAGGTAATTGTAATAATAAAAACTTATATATTTTTGAAAGACTGATTAGTTTTGACTCTGATCGACAAACACATAATGGATAAAGGCTTTGAATCAGCACTTGCAGAAGTTTGTAACTTTCAAATTAGTTTTTTCCAGGAGCATCACTTCATACAGCTTTAAAATAACCACATTACTGCGTAGATTCTGGTGTTGGTGATCCATAAATGATCAATCAAAAGTGATGAACTAATGTGAAACTTCCTGAAAACTGCCTAAAGCAGGGGTGTCAAACTCAATTTCATCATGGGCCACATTCGCATAAAGGTTGCACTCAAAGGGCCGGTTGTAACTATATATATATATATATATAAAATAATGTATTATATGACATTATTGCCTCTGAATTGGATTATTATCGGATAGGATAATAACTTAGTAATTAACTACGCCTGAAAGCAAAAGTCCAGGGCAAATAATTGCAAGTCTCTTCAGTGCGCATGTCACAAAACAAGATGCATTGTGGGACATGTAGTTTATGGGCAACCTGCTTCTGTAAAGTGGCATGTAATCGTATAATAAACTTATTATATTCTTTGCTAGCTCTTGCAGGGCCACATAAAATGAAGTCGCGGGCCTGATTTGGCCTCCGGGCCTTGAGTTTGACACCCCTGGCCTAAAGTGACTTAAGAGACTATTATCATCATGTATTCATTCAAACCTATATAACCAGTCAATGATTAAAACACAATTATAGAGATGAGATATACCAAATGATTCCATTAGCTCATTTCCATCTGCAGTCCCTGGTTCACGTCATTCATCTAAACTCAAAACATGACAGAGTCTCTTTCACACTGACATTTATACAGACATGTTCACATACACATTATAAACTATAAATACTAGCACATTTATCAGTGCAACCAAAATATAACTAATTCATGTATTAGTTTAATTAATTTGAGCTCAAAATACAGTTTAAGTTGACGAGACAGGTTGCTCAATATCCATTACATTACTGCACATATTTTATTCCATTCTATTTCAGTGTAAATATTGCTATATTTTACTATATTGTTTTAACGTTATTATTGTTTTCTTAAAATAATTTTCTATCTGTGTTTTACATTTTAGTTTTACTCTCTTATATTGTACTTCTTAAATATATATGTTCAAATATATAACACAGTTTTCATGTGTTAATAAGCCCAATCTTCAAAGAAATTCAGTCAATTAAAGTTGAAAACATGTTCAAGTTGATAAGAAAAAGCCCAATAATAAATGTACATAACAACCTTCAAATAAACCCTTCATATCTCCTCTTATTGTAATCAATCTGAAGCTTCTGTTTTAAGGAATGAGCTGCTAACTAAATAAATAAAACCCTATTTGATGTAGGCTGTTTTTTTCCTAAAGCATTTTCAAGTATTAAGCATAACTGACCTACATTGGATTGATTTAGTTAACTTATAACTGAACTTATAAGGCAGTATACCTCTCGTGCAGTGCTTCTCAAAGTGTGGTCCGCGGACCACTGGTGGTCCGTGAGCGCCCCCAAGTGGTCCGTGAGTATATTGGTACAATTTCACATTTTAAATAAATTAATAAATTAAAGTTTTACGCACTCTCGCAGGAATATCTCCGCAATGGAGCGAGCTTAAGTTTCGATTGTAAGGCGATTTGTAATCTGTTCTAGAAAAACGATGTGATTTTGGATATTTGTGGCGTTAGGTGGTCCGCGAGTGTTTTTTTATTGGTTAAGTGTCCTTGGTATGAAAAAGTCTGAGAAACACTGCTCTAGTGAGTGGCCCAGCCCTTCGTATATTTTTCTGTATGTGGCCCTCTGTGAAAACAGTTTGGACCCCCCTGGACTAAATAAATACTACATTATGATCTATTTGAGGTAACCAAGCAGCACAGAGGTTGAGACGCAGCGCACCCAGAGCGTAGTACGCCTGCAGGTCCTGGTTGGTCAGTTTGAAGAAGCGCTGGATCCTCTCCAGAGACACCTTGGCCTCCAGGATGCTGTTCAGCACCCAGGGGAACGAGTTGAGGGGAATGATCAACATCCCCACCAGAGCCAGCGTGGTGAACACCTGCAGGGAGAGGACGTTTACTGCTTTAGGGTTTATTTGTACGATTAAAATACAAAGAAAGATATACAGCGCAGGGAGAGGCAGAAAGAAAAGCCTCCACCTTAACTACCCAAGAGTTCACAGTGTTATTAAGGCCATTCAAATGTTATTCTATGCTCTAAATATATATCCTTCATTATTGATATGTATATATTCACTGTTTTGCGTAATTTGTTTATCTTCTACTGTTGATGTGTATATCTTTATTGTTGTTGTTTTTGTATTTACCTCTTATTCATGTGCAATGCTTTTCTATGCTGACGAAAAAAAGTCCCAATTTATGACCAATAAATTATATCTTATCCTATCTTAGTTTTCGGTGATTATTTACTTATGAAATCATAAATATTACAGTCTATTCCTGGTAATAAATACAATAAATCCAACAAACTGGACCCTTGACAGCTTACAGGGTAAACCATGCTGCTAATGTACTTATTGTAAGTCGCTTTGGATAAAAGCGTCAGCTAAATGCAATGTAATGTAATGTAAATCCTAAAAACGGTAAAGTCACTCCCTACTCAAAGTATCTATAGTGTCCTATATGTGTAGAAAGACAGGTTAACTTCACTTTATGCATCAAAGCAATTGCAGTGTAAAGTTTCCCACCTTGGCTTCTTAGATTCAGGTGATTATTTACTTATGAAATCATAAATATTATATCCTATTTCTGATCAAATAATAAAAAAGAATCCAACAAACTGGACCCTTGACAGCTGTTTCATGGTAAACACTCACAAATCTGTTCATTCACTCCCTACTCAAAGTATCTATAGTGTCCTAAATGTGTAGAAAGCCCGTTAACTTGACTTTATCAGGGTATATGCAGGAATCCTGAAGTCAGATGTAATTCCTTTTAAGACCCTTTCCATACATTTTAAGACCTCATCGCCACTTGGAGTTCTAACCTTGGCGACACACTTCACCTCACATTGACTATACACAGTATTGATCGTCCTTCCTCCTTATCTTCCAACCATTTGGACGCAGACTTGCATTTCCCCATAACGATGTTGCTTAATAATAATAATACATTTAATTTATATAGCGCTTCTCATCTGCCAAGACAAATCTCGAAGTGCTTCACAACAAGGGATACTAATACACTTTGAGAGATTAAACAAATAATTGTAATAATAATAAGAAATCAAAAAATAAAATATAAAATATAAAATATAAAATAAAGTACAAAAATAAAAGTCGGTGATAGCGATAAAAATGGCAGTACTCCAGGTGTACCATGCTCAAAGTTTATTGGAAGGCCTGCCGAAAGAAGAGGGTCTTAAGGCCGGTTTTGAAGACCTCGGTGGAAGGGGCAGATCTCAGCTGATCTGGGAGGGAGTTCCAGAGGCGCGGGGCGAATGAGCAGAAGGCTCGGTCTCCCATTGTTCGGAGACGTGTGCGGGGGATGTAAAGAAGAGGAGCGTGGCTGGAGCGGAGAGAGCGGGTAGATGTCTGGGTATGGATGAGGTCACAGAGGTATTTTGGGCTTTGTCCATTCAGGGCTTTGTACGTGAGGAGCAGAACCTTAAACTGGATCCTGTAGTGGACTGGGAGCCAGTGTAGTTTTGCAAGTATGGGGGTTATGTGTGCGGACCTTTTTGTACCGGTGAGAACTCTGGCTGTGCTGTTCTGGACAAGTTGCAAGCGGTTCATGGATTTGGCTGGGAGACCGGAGAGGAGTGCATTGCAATAGTCTAGTCTTGAGAAGACGAGTGCATGAACCAGTTTTTTGATGTCATCAGTTGAGAGTGAGGGCTTCAGTCGGGAAATGTTTTTCAGGTGAAAGAAGGAGGTCTTGGTGATATGTTTGATGTGGGCTTGGAAAGACAGAGTGGGGTCAAACCTTACACCGAGGTTGGTGACAACGGAGGAGAGAGGAATTATTACTGTATTACTCAAAGTATCTATAGTGTCCTAAATGTGTAGAAAGCCCGGTTAACTTGACTTTATCAGGGTACATGAGGAATCCTGAAGTCAGATGTAATTCCTTTTAAGACCCTTTCCATACATTTTAAGACCTCATCTCCACTTGGAGTTCTAACCGGTTACCTTGGCGACACACTTCACCTCACATTGACTATATACAGTATTGATTGTCCTTCCTCCTTATCTTCAACCATTTGGACGCAGACTTGCATTTCCCCATAACGATGTTGCTTAGCAACCGGCGTAAACGGAGCTTCTCGCGCTATCAAGCAGTGAGCGTGCGATGTCCTGTTCAGATGACGTCAAGTCCAACGGGATGCCATCAATAAACGACACAGAATCACACTACACACCTACGCAATGATTACATTCAGGCAGACTGTAGAATACAACCTCTTTGGACCATTTATATACTTATTGAAAACAAGCTACAAAATGTAACACCTTGGAAAATGCCCTTTAATACTTTTTAATAGCCTTCATTTTCGCTAGATTGATTTATCAACTTTTAATACTTGTTAAGACCCCGCGGACCCCCTTATTTATGCATCAAAACAGTGTAAAGAGTAAAGTGTCCCACCTTGGCGGCAGTGAGCTGGTGCCCCAGCAGGGTGTAGGTGAGGAAGGTGAGGATGGAGATGACCACAGGTAGAGCCGCCCAGGTGTAAACACACATGGCGTCCAGGTACTTCAGAGCCTTCAGGTGGGACAGCTCCTCTTTACGGCAGGCGTTGATCTTCTGCGTGAAATGAGGCTCCCAGTTGTAGAACTTGATGACCCGAATGCCGAAGAGGACCTCCGTCATTAACTGGGAGAGAAGAAAGACACATTGTTAGGAGAATATTGTGGATCTCGAAAATGTTCTGGGGCAAAAACTGCATGAATCCTGCCTTGGATACAAAAAATGTTCCTTTATTATCTCAAATAAGCTTTTATTTTTACTATGAGGGTTTAATATTTCAATTGTCAATTATTACATTTCAAATTAAACCACTTTAAAAAGGTATTAAGTGTTGAAAAATGTGATTATATAATAACAATTGTCTGTTTCTTTTTATACAATTGCATTAACATTCGGATCCCTACAGCATGAGATAACTATTGATAAATATATATTGGCAGATATTTCCTTTCTACACACAAACTTCAGATTGTTGATGCTCAATTTATCTTCATTCTAAGTATTTCTTGGGCTTTTTTGCCGCCGTTTAATCCTAATAAGGTATAAGGGGATTAAGCAACAACAAAGGTCCCTGGTGGGCATCTAGCCAGTCCACATTAGGAGATCAAAGTACATTTTATAAAGTTCATTTCACTGGAAATCAATATATGTCACCATGAAAAACTAATTAATATTATTTTAAGCTCAAATTTAAAAAGAATTACAAGAAATAATTAAATGCATTAACATACACTACTTCTCCTTCCACAGCACTAATGAAAAACATCTTCTCCCACCTTCACGCGTGTGTCCTTGTGTCGGAGCATGTGTTGGTTGTTTCTGAGGAGTCTTGAGGCGAGGAACTTGTTGAAAGGCACGAGCATCAGAGCCACGCTGAGCCCCCCGAGGAACGACACCCCCACCTGGAGGTACAGCAGGTACAAGGTGATGATCAGCCTGAAAGGGAGGCTCCACAACTCGTGGAAACTGTTGAAGAAGTTGACCACTCGTCCGGTGTCGGTGCTCATCAGATTCACCACTTCCCCCAGCGTGGCTCCGGCCAAACTGCTGCCTCTGATCCGCAGAGATTTACCGTAAACCGCCGACATGAGAGCAGCGCGGGCCGAAAGAGACACCTGAGCAGAGAGTACACACATCCTTTACTCAAGTAGAAGTACAGATACTCGTGTTTACAAATACTATGGTGAAAGTAGAAGTACTGACTGAACTTCTTTACTCAAGTAAAAGTAAAGAGGCTTTGAAATGTACTTCAGTAAAAAGTACCCATAACTAGCAGCTGCTTTAAAGAGTACCTGACCTCCCTTTATATTAATAGAACAATAATGTCATTGTTAGCTAATGAATGTTTCCATGCTGAACAACGGCAACATGACAACGTTTCCATTGGTCCCTCTTCTTTAGAGAAGACCAGGAAATGATGGATACACGGATCGTGTTCAAATCAATAGGCACGCAATGACTCTAAAGAATAATGATCACGCATCAAACACACATTCAGACTAAAGGAACCAGCTGTTTGGGAAATGAGAGAAGTAGAAAGTACAAGTATTTGTGTTCAACATGTAAGAAGTAGAAAGTACAGGTATTTGAGTTCAACATGTAAGAAGTAGAAAGTACAGGTATTTGTGTTCAACATGTGAGAAGTAGAAAGTACAGGTATTTGTGTTCAACATGTAAGAAGTAGAAAGTTCAGGTATTTGTGTTCAAAATGTAAGAAGTAGAAAGTACAGGTATTTGAGTTCAACATGTAAGAAGTAGAAAGTACAGGTATTTGTGTTCAAAATGTAAGAAGTAGAAAGTACAGGTATTTGTGTTCAACATGTAAGAAGTAGAAAGTACAGGTATTTGAGTTCAACATGTAAGAAGTAGAAAGTACAGGTATTTGGGTTCAACATGTAAGAAGTAGAAAGTACAGGTATTTGTGTTCAACATGTGAGAAGTAGAAAGTTCAGGTATTTGTGTTCAACATGTAAGAAGTAGAAAGTACAGGTATTTGTGTTCAACATGTAAGAAGTAGAAAGTACAGGTATTTGAGTTCAACATCTGAGAAGTAGAAAGTACAGGTATTTGAGTTCAACATGTGAGAAGTAGAAAGTACAGGTATTTGAGTTCAACATCTGAGAAGTAGAAAGTACAGGTATTTGAGTTCAACATGTGAGAAGTAGAAAGTACAGGTATTTGAGTTCAACATCTGAGAAGTAGAAAGTACAGGTATTTGAGTTCAACATGTGAGAAGTAGAAAGTACAGGTATTTGAGTTCAACATCTGAGAAGTAGAAAGTACAGGTATTTGAGTTCAACATGTGAGAAGTAGAAAGTACAGGTATTTGAGTTCAACATCTGAGAAGTAGAAAGTACAGGTATTTGAGTTCAACATGTGAGAAGTAGAAAGTACAGGTATTTGTGTTCAACATGTGAGAAGTAGAAAGTACAGGTATTTGAGTTCAACATCTGAGAAGTAGAAAGTACAGGTATTTGAGTTCAACATGTAAGAAGTAGAAAGTACAGGTATTTGTGTTCAACATGTAAGAAGTAGAAAGTACAGGTATTTGAGTTCAACATGTAAGAAGTAGAAAGTACAGGTATTTGAGTTCAACATGTGAGAAGTAGAAAGTACAGGTATTTGAGTTCAACATGTAAGAAGTAGAAAGTACAGGTATTTGTGTTCAACATGTAAGAAGTAGAAAGTACAGGTATTTGAGTTCAACATGTGAGAAGTAGAAAGTACAGGTATTTGAGTTCAACATGTGAGAAGTAGAAAGTACAGGTATTTGTGTTCAACATGTAAGAAGTAGAAAGTACAGGTATTTGTGTTCAACATGTGAGAAGTATAAAGTACAGGTATTTGTGTTCAACATGTGAGAAGTAGAAAGTTCAGGTATTTGTGTTCAACATGTAAGAAGTAGAAAGTACAGGTATTTGTGTTCAACATGTAAGAAGTAGAAAGTACAGGTATTTGTGTTCAACATGTGAGAAGTATAAAGTACAGGTATTTGTGTTCAACATGTAAGAAGTAGAAAGTACAGGTATTTGTGTTCAACATGTGAGAAGTATAAAGTACAGGTATTTGTGTTCAACATGTAAGAAGTAGAAAGTACAGGTATTTGTGTTCAACATGTAAGAAGTAGAAAGTACAGGTATTTGTGTTCAACATGTAAGAAGTAGAAAGTACAGGTATTTGTGTTCAACATGTAAGAAGTAGAAAGTACAGGTATTTGTGTTCAACATGTAAGAAGTAGAAACTACAGGTATTTGAGTTCAACATGTAAGAAGTAGAAAGTACAGGTATTTGAGTTCAACATGTAAGAAGTAGAAAGTACAGGTATTTGAGTTCAACATGTAAGAAGTAGAAACTACAGGTATTTGAGTTCAACATGTAAGAAGTAGAAAGTACAGGTATTTGAGTTCAACATGTGAGAAGTAGAAAGTACAGGTATTTGGGTTAAAAATGTAAGAAGTAGAAACTACAGGTATTTGAGTTCAACATGTAAGAAGTAGAAAGTACAGGTATTTGGGTTAAAAATGTAAGAAGTAGAAACTACAGGTATTTGAGTTCAACATGTAAGAAGTAGAAAGTACAGGTATTTGAGTTCAACATGTAAGAAGTAGAAAGTACAGGTATTTGAGTTCAACATCTGAGAAGTAGAAAGTACAGGTATTTGAGTTCAACATGTGAGAAGTAGAAAGTACAGGTATTAGAGTTCAACATGTGAGAAGTAGAAAGTACAGGTATTTGTGTTCAACATGTGAGAAGTAGAAAGTTCAGGTATTTGAGTTCAACATGTAAGAAGTAGAAAGTACAGGTATTTGTGTTCAAAATGTAAGAAGTAGAAAGTACAGGTATTTGTGTTCAAAATGTAAGAAGTAGAAAGTACAGGTATTTGAGTTCAACATCTGAGAAGTAGAAAGTACAGGTATTTGAGTTCAACATGTAAGAAGTAGAAAGTACAGGTATTTGTGTTCAACATGTGAGAAGTAGAAAGTACAGGTATTTGTGTTCAAAATGTAAGAAGTAGAAAGTACAGGTATTTGTGTTCAACATGTAAGAAGTAGAAAGTACAGGTATTTGTGTTCAACATGTAAGAAGTAAAAAGTACAGGTATTTGTGTTCAACATGTGAGAAGTAGAAAGTACAGGTATTTGAGTTCAACATGTAAGAAGTAGAAAGTACAGGTATTTGAGTTCAACATGTAAGAAGTAGAAAGTACAGGTATTTGAGTTCAACATGTGAGAAGTAGAAAGTACAGGTATTTGTGTTCAACATGTAAGAAGTAGAAAGTACAGGTATTTGAGTTCAACATGTAAGAAGTAGAAAGTTCAGGTATTTGAGTTCAACATGTAAGAAGTAGAAAGTACAGGTATTTGTGTTCAACATGTAAGAAGTAGAAAGTACAGGTATTTGAGTTCAACATGTAAGAAGTAGAAAGTACAGGTATTTGTGTTCAACATGTAAGAAGTAGAAAGTACAGGTATTTGAGTTCAACATGTAAGAAGTAGAAAGTACAGGTATTTGAGTTCAACATGTAAGAAGTAGAAAGTACAGGTATTTGAGTTCAACATGTAAGAAGTAGAAAGTACAGGTATTTGTGTTCAAAATGTAAGAAGTAGAAAGTACAGGTATTTGTGTTCAACATGTGAGAAGTATAAAGTACAGGTATTTGGGTTCAACATGTAAGAAGTAGAAAGTACAGGTATTTGAGTTCAACATGTAAGAAGTATAAAGTACAGGTATTTGAGTTCAACATGTAAGAAGTAGAAAGTACAGGTATTTGAGTTCAACATGTAAGAAGTAGAAAGTTCAGGTATTTGTGTTCAAAATGTAAGAAGTAGAAAGTACAGGTATTTGAGTTCAACATGTAAGAAGTAGAAAGTTCAGGTATTTGTGTTCAAAATGTAAGAAGTAGAAAGTACAGGTATTTGAGTTCAACATGTAAGAAGTAGAAAGTTCAGGTATTTGTGTTCAAAATGTAAGAAGTAGAAAGTACAGGTATTTGTGTTCAAAGTGTAAGAAGTAGAAAGTACAGGTATTTGAGTTCAAAATGTAAGAAGTAGAAAGTACAGGTATTTGAGTTCAAAATGTAAGAAGTAGAAAGTACAGGTATTTGAGTTCAACATGTAAGAAGTAGAAAGTACAGGTATTTGAGTTCAAAATGTAAGAAGTAGAAAGTACAGGTATTTGAGTTCAACATGTAAGAAGTAGAAAGTACAGGTATTTGAGTTCAACATGTAACAAGTAGAAAGTACAGGTATTTGTGTTCAACATGTGAGAAGTAGAAAGTACAGATATTTGAGTTCAACATGTAAGAAGTAGAAAGTACAGGTATTTGTGTTCAAAATGTAAGAAGTAGAAAGTACAGGTATTTGTGTTCAACATGTAAGAAGTAGAAAGTACAGGTATTTGTGTTCAACATGTAAGAAGTAGAAAGTACAGATATTTGAGTTCAACATGTAAGAAGTAGAAAGTACAGGTATTTGAGTTCAACATGTGAGAAGTAGAAAGTACAGGTATTTGTGTTCAACATGTGAGAAGTATAAAGTACAGGTATTTGGGTTCAACATGTAAGAAGTAGAAAGTACAGGTATTTGAGTTCAACATGTAAGAAGTAGAAAGTTCAGGTATTTGTGTTCAACATGTAAGAAGTAGAAAGTACAGGTATTTGAGTTCAACATGTGAGAAGTAGAAAGTACAGGTATTTGTGTTCAACATGTAAGAAGTAGAAAGTACAGGTATTTGTGTTCAACATGTAAGAAGTAGAAAGTACAGGTATTTGAGTTCAACATGTGAGAAGTAGAAAGTACAGGTATTTGTGTTCAACATGTAAGAAGTAGAAAGTACAGGTATTGTGTTCAACATGTAAGAAGTAGAAAGTTCAGGTATTTGTGTTCAACATGTAAGAAGTAGAAAGTACAGGTATTTGTGTTCAACATGTAAGAAGTAGAAAGTTCAGGTATTTGTGTTCAACATGTAAGAAGTAGAAAGTACAGGTATTTGAGTTCAACATGTAAGAAGTAGAAAGTACAGGTATTTGAGTTCAACATGTAAGAAGTAGAAAGTACAGGTATTTGTGTTCAACATGTAAGAAGTAGAAAGTACAGGTATTTGAGTTCAACATGTAAGAAGTAGAAAGTACAGGTATTTGTGTTCAACATGTAAGAAGTAGAAAGTACAGGTATTTGAGTTCAACATGTGAGAAGTAGAAAGTACAGGTATTTGAGTTCAACATGTAAGAAGTAGAAAGTACAGGTATTTGGGTTCAACATGTGAGAAGTAGAAAGTACAGGTATTTGAGTTCAACATGTAAGAAGTAGAAAGTACAGGTATTTGAGTTCAACATGTAAGAAGTAGAAAGTACAGGTATTTGTGTTCAACATGTAAGAAGTAGAAAGTACAGGTATTTGAGTTCAACATGTAAGAAGTAGAAAGTACAGGTATTTGTGTTCAACATGTAAGAAGTAGAAAGTACAGGTATTTGAGTTCAACATGTGAGAAGTAGAAAGTACAGGTATTTGAGTTCAACATGTAAGAAGTAGAAAGTACAGGTATTTGTGTTCAACATGTAAGAAGTAGAAAGTACAGGTATTTGTGTTCAACATGTAAGAAGTAGAAAGTACAGGTATTTGGGTTCAACATGTGAGAAGTCAAAGTAAAAAGTCGTCAGAAAAATAAGTAGTGGAGTAAAGTACTGAGAAACATGTACTTAAGTACAGTAACGAAGTATTTGTACTCCACTACTTCCCACCTCTGTACCTTAGACACCTCGAAGACGAAGATGTTATTGAGATAACTATTGAGTTTTTAAAATTCTGATAAATACATATTGGCAGATATTTCCTTTCTACACACAAACTTCACATTGTTGATGCTCGATTTATCTTAATTTTAAGTATTTCTTGGGCTTTTTTGCCGCCGTTTAATCCTAATAAGGGATAAGGGGATTAAGCAACAACAAAGGTCCCTGGTGGGCATCTAGCCAGTCCACATTAGGAGATCAAAGTACATTTTATAAAGTTCATTTCACTGGAAATGTATATATGTCACCATGAAAAACTAATTAATATTATTTTAAGCTCAAAATACAAAAAATAAACAAGAAATACATATAAATGCATCCTCTCAAATATGAAGTGCTTGAATGAAGGACTTTATTAATTAATGTTTTATGGCTGTTGATATCATTATTACTATCACTACTATCTTTGTTGTGTTTGAGTTTTGATCTAATTTGATTCTATTGTATAGAATATATATATATATATATATATACAGGGTTTCCCACACATAGACTTTACTTGGGCGGGCCGCCCAGGTATATTAACGGCAACCCATTTAGGTTTTTTTTTCGTCCGCGACCACGACGCCATCTGCGATCGATTAACTTTTGGACAATGTAATAGTAAATAGTGGGTAGTAGATTTAAACTAGGGCTATCACTATGGGCCCTGCTTGCACCTGTTCGCTCTGCCATCGCGTGAAGGGTCTGCTAACAAGCGACCAACAGAAAGGTTAATGTTGTTGCACGTCACCTCAACCCCCCCCCTCTACCAGCACCCCCCCAAGTATATTTCAGATCTGTGGGAAACACTGATATGTCTACCTTTACTGTTATTATAGCTTGTACATGTATTTTACTGTACCTTAGACACCTCGAAGACGAAGATGTTTCCGAGGAAGGAGGTGAGGAGCGTGGTGATGAAGAGTCCCACAGAGCACCAGACTCCCAAACTGATGGGAGCCTCCTCGTCCTCCATGAAGTTCACGAGGCTGCTGAGCAGCAGCGGGCCGGAGAAACTGAGCATGTTGACCACGACCTTCAGGACGCCCAGCAGGTAGTATCGCAGCCCGAAGGCTTTGTGAAGAACCTTCAGCAGGCGGACGTCTCCCTGCAGCTCCAAGGGTTCCTCCTGAGGAGAGAGGACAGAATAATATGAAATACTGTACAGTGGATAATAATTCTGCTTGTTGTATAAATAAATAAGTGCATGAGCTGCAGCCCCACCTGGTAGTTTGAGCTCCAGGTGCCGTTGAGCAGGTTCCTGCTGAGCGGCGGGGGCCACTGCTCCTCTCCGTCACCGACCTCTGCTCCGCGTCTGCAGGACTCCCAGCACTGGTGGAAGTTTCGACAAACCACAGACGTCCGAAGCTTCCTGGGGAGGTGATAAACATCTGCTGGTCTGCACAGATCCCCTCGTTCCCCCCGTCTGAGAAGAGGGTTCAACCAGAGGAAGAAGAGCCAGGAAACACAGCCGCTCCCATCCTCCGCCACCATGTCACCTGGGAGAAATGATCAATATATTGTGCCGGAACTTTAAGGGACATAATTTACTGTGAAAATACTGAATGTCCTCTTCCAATATGAGAGTAACATGATAACAAAGGTATCCCAACTGTAGCTGTGAACATGACAGGATGTGTGATTACCTAGAAGAGCATCAGGACTGTTTGAGGCATATGATAGCTATGTGATTAACATGATGATTCAGCCTCTATGGAGAGAGACATATGACAAGCATGCTCATTTCTGACGTGGAGCTAATCTGGAGTAAACATTGAATACTGCTTTCTATTCCTCCATCTTGTGACGGTGTAACTCCCTCTCTTGGATATCAGCATGTGAAGGACACTGTTCAGGAACTAGTTGATGCTCTGTATGTGATGACTACTTTCAGATTTTGAGAAAAAGTAAGAATTTCGAGAAAAAGTCATTTTTTTAAGAAAAAGTCAGATTTTGGAGATTTTGAGAAAAATTCAGAACTTTGAGATTTTTTGAAAAAAGCCAAACAATTTAGAAAAAACTCAGTATTTTGTAAATGACAGGATGTACGATTACCTAGAAGACCCGGTGTTCCTCCATCTGGTGACTGTGTAACTCCCTCTCTTGGATATCAGCATGTGAAGGACACATTGAGAGGATCACAAATACATGGATCCTGAGATTGAACCTCAAGCCGGTGACCAGTGATATTTTTCCTAACAATCGTGTATGTGAATATAAGGAGAATGACGCGTGCAGTTACATACTAAACACAGCATCTCCAACTCTCACTCATCGACGCTGCATTACTACTATTATTATGTGTTTAATGACCAACAAACATTAGAAGAATTGTATAATAAAATATCATAAGAGATGGCTACTCATCAGAGGACTACAGAAGAAGACGAAGCAGGACACGCCCCCGTTGACGTCAGCCAATAGGAAGAAGACTAAATACGAGAGTGGGAACATATAAATAAGATGTTAAATGGAGAAACGTTCTCTTTTCATTCAGGCAACTGGTAAACAGCTAACTGCTTATGTGGACTGTGGATCAGTGAATTGAATGAGAGGAACCACAGCTGTGTTCCCTTGTAATCGTATCATTGTATTAATAAACGCAGTTAACTTGACGAGAAGCTTCCTGGATTCCTTTCAGCTACTCCTACCTTAGGTCGTAGAAAAACCCAACTCACCCGTATCCTGCTCGTTATCCTCCGTGATGAGAGGGGATCCATCGTCAGCGTTGATATTCAAAGAGTATCCAGCCTCACTGATGCAGGGGAAAGCAAACGCTAAAAGATAAACCAGAAGAGGCAGCGTCCGGGTGGAAACGAGAACAAAACGTGCAAATACAAGAGGCTCCGAGAGGTTTAAGTACTCCCGATTGTCGCAGGAATTGATCAAGGTGACGACCAGGTTTGGGATGGAGAGAAGGACCAGCAGGAGCAGAAGTGGAGGTCCTCTGGTTCTCCTGAAAGAGGTCCTCTGGAGCACCATCAGGGCACTGAAGTGGACCAGCCAGGCCAGGATGGAGCAGCCGTCAGAGAGGAGGTCCAGGAGGAGGAGGTCCCGCTGCAGGAGGACCACCAGGAGCAGATCTGAAGAGAAGAGCAGCGCCACCAGAAGAGCAGAGAAACACCGGAGGGTCCAGCTGCAGGGAGCCGGCGTCTGAGGGGGGGCGTGTCTACAAAACAGGAACATAAACACTGAAATATATAACAAATAAATATCATATTTTTCCATAGTGGCCATTATGTTAAACACCTGAACTCTTGAAAGAACATCCATAACATTCATCTGTTTGCAACTTATATATCAATATTCCAATCACTTGTATATAAACTATTCTGCACTATTTCCATTATATTCTATTTTCTTTTATTTACTTGCACTATTATCTGTTTTATTGTGTTGCACTGTTGGAGGAGCCTGTGACCTCAGATTTTCATTGACATAACTAAGTAAGTACATTTCAAAGCCCTCTTTACTTTTACTTGAGTAAAGACATTTAGTCAGTACTTCTACTTTTACCAGAGTATTTTTGAACACGAGTATCTGTACTTCTACTAGAGTAAAGGATGCGTGTACTTTTGCCCTCTCTGCAGATATTAGACGTACCTCTGCATGCTGAGGTAGCAGGCGCTGAAAATGGCCATCCCTGCATGAGGCAGCGCTCCCAGGACCAGTTGGTTGAAGCAGGGGCTGATGTTTCCATCCTGAAACACGGGGAAGGGGTTCTGCTCGTCTGTACGACACAGACCTGAGACCAGCTCCGCAGGACCAAAGAGCCCCATCCCTAAAACTATTTAACTGCTGTCATTTTAAAATACCTGGAGAGCAAAAACAATACGAGTTAACTGTAAGGGGGAGATAGATGGATAAAGATATATATCGACAGACTGACAGACGGACAGACAGACAGACAGACAGACAGACAGACAGACAGACAGACAGACAGACAGACAGACAGACAGACAGACAGACAGACAGACAGACAGATAGATAGATAGATAGATAGATAGATAGATAGATAGATGGATAGATGGATAGATAGATAGATAGATAGATGGATAGATGGATAGATGGATAGATGGATGGATGGATGGATGGATGGATGGATGGATGGATGGATGGATGGATGGATGGATGGATTCTAAAGCACCACATGCGTCAGGTTTGGGTACATATTTAACCCTTTATACAAGATAATATCTAGAAGGAGAGAGGACTTTCTACAACTTGAAAGCATGACAGACCATTCAAACATAGAGTAATCTGACTGAACCAAATCAAGCAATGGAGCAGGAGATTACAAACTTGTCAAGAGTAGTATACATTAACTGCTCTCCAAATGTCTTATAACACTTTTCTAGGAAAAAGCCAGGGTTACAAAGTAAGATAACACACTAAATCATACTTTACTTATATGTGTTAATAGTTTCCCATCATACATGTGACTCAGCATTGGTCTTCAACCACTTAAGTAACAGAAAAACGTGTTAAAACGACAGAAAGATGGAGGTGTTTCCGAATGAAAGATGAATCTACACATGTAAACAAATGAGGCTAGCTAGCTAACAGTTAGCTTAGCATACAGATTATCACTCTGTTTAAGCGACACTGTAATGCTAACACACACAATATTTACATGAAACACTAACGAATCTAACCACTACTTAATATAACTTAAATACACTATCGATGCACTATAATTAAGATAAGAAACCTTACATATTACCGGCTGTCATCTAGCTAACAGGAAACACTTCTGTCCCTTCTGATGACGCACTCTATGGGATTTTCAAAATAAAAGTTGTTTTTTTGCAAATGTAAGCAGCATCAGTACTTGTTATTTTATGTATTTATGTGCTACAAAAGTATAAACACCATGTTCTTAAAATTGCTTTATCATTAGTTAAAGTCCAGCAGTGAAAATCCATTGAAAACCAAAACCAAAAATGTACTAATTCCTAACTAAACTGTGCAATATGTGCTGTTAATGTAATACATGTATTTTTCTTTGCTTTTTCTACTGATGCTTCCCTATCCTATTTGCTGTTGTGAGACCAATAGATGATCGTATTTTGAGTTAATGTACATGGGTATTATCTTCAAAGTATATACTATACTATAGTATCAAAAGTAAAAGTATGCATTATGCTCAATGGTTGTAATATTATCGAATATAGTATATTGTAGTTGTATTACTTTTAAGATAATTTAAGATACTTTGTGTAATACTCAGTAGATGAGTTGTATAGTACTGCATGATTTCATACAAAGGGTTTTTTGTTTAAAGGTCACCTATTATGCAAAATCCTCTTCTTCATGTCTCTTCTACATCAACATGTGTCCCCTCTTCTTCATATCTCTTCTACATCAACATGTGTCCCCTCTTCTTCATATCTCTTCTACATCAACATGTGTCCCCTCTTCTTCATGTCTCTTCTACATCAACATGTGTCCCCTCTTCTTCATGTCTCTTCTACATCAACACGTGTCCCCTCTTCTTCATGTCTCTCCTACATCAACATGTGTCCCCTCTTCTTCATGTCTCTTCTACATCAACATGTGTCCCCTCTTCTTCATGTCTCTTCTACATCAACATGTGTCCCCTCTTCTTCATGTCTCTTCTACATCAACATGTGTCCCCTCTTCTTCATGTCTCTTCTACAGCAACATGTGTCCCCTCTTCTTCATGTCTCTTCTACATCAACATGTGTCCCCTCTTCTTCATGTCTCTTCTACATCAACATGTGTCCCCTCTTCTTCATGTCTCTTCTACATCAACATGTGTCCCCTCTTCTTCATGTCTCTTCTACATCAACATGTGTCCCCTCTGTGGAAAGAGACTCTGAAAGTTTCAGGAACAAAGATTCTCTCTCTTTTTGTCCTGATCCATTTATAAAAACCTATCTGAAAATGAGCTGATCAGATTTTGGCCACTTTATGTTGTGGCTTCAATCAATAGGATACGGCTGTAATAGGCCTAAGGCCTTTTAGTCGCTCATAAATAAGTAGATCACTGTTCTTTATATACTATGGATGCTGGCAACAGTCACATAGTCCAAAGTGAAGGGGATGTTTGACCAGTAGTGGTCGAGGCGGGACTTGAGACAGTTAACCGTCTTGGATGTGACAACGCTTTCTGGCAGATCATTCCACAAGTCAACCACACGCAGGCTGAAAAAGTTGCAGCAGATAGCCAGTCTTGAGTAGGCCTACTGTTTCTTCAACTTGAGGCAGTGTCCACGAATCCTGGTGTTATAATGCCGTTGTAGTGGGCATGATGTTTTGTAGATGTTGTGGAGATATTTGAAAACTTCGATCATATCTCCCCTCGCCCTTCCTTAATACATACTCGGGATCTTAAGACTTTGCAGTCGTTCTTGATATGGTAGGTCCTTTAGTTCTGGAACCAGCTTCGTTGCCCTTCTCTGTATTTTCTCGATGAGCTCAGCTTGTGTAACCATTAGCCAATCACCAACAAAGGTAACAGACCTTTAATGTAAAAAGTAACTTTAAGTAACGCTAAGTATCAAATAAATGCAGAAAGAGCAATATTTCCCTTTTAAATTGAGTACAGTACCACAGAATGGAAATACTCAAAACGTCCAAAATGTTAATAAAGCGACCACTAAATAAGACCTAAGGAACATCGCCAGGATCAGACAATTTTTTAACTCTGCTGCTAAAATTGTTTACTGTAGGCCTACATGCTTTTATAACTAGTCACTTGAAATTCTGCGATTCTCTTTTTACTGATCTCCCTAAAAAACATTTTCAAAAATTTCAATTAATTCAGAATGCTGCAGCCAGGATTTTAACAAACACAAACAATGGATCATATGTCCCCTCTACTGGCATCGCTGCACTGGTTACCGGTGGCTTTCAGAATTGATTTAAAGTGTTTCTAATTATTTACAGCACCTGACCCCTACACACATCAGTGACTGCCTTTCATTGTGTAACCCGACAAGGACACTCAGATCCTGCAATGCCTTTCTTTTGGAAGTACTGATAGTATTTCACAAGAAATCTGGGGAGGCTGCTTTATGAAGCTCAGCGCAAGTTCAACCAGCCTCCTCCCCCCCTTTTCACCTCCTGTCCCACTGAATCCAGGGTCAAGCTAAGCCCCTCTCCTTCAGACCGACCCCAACTATCCATTCACCACCACCAGGGTCAAGCTAAGCCACTCCCCTTCAGACCGACCCCAACTATCCATTCACCACCAACAGGGTCAAGCTAAGCCCCTCCCCTTCAGACCGACCCCCAACCATCCATTCACCACCACCAGGGTCAAGCTAAGCCACTCCCCTTCAGACCGACCCCAACCATCCATTCACCACCACCAGGGTCAAGCTAAGCCACTCCCCTTCAGACCGACCCCAACTATCCATTCACCACCACCAGGGTCAAGCTAAGCCCCTCCCCTTCAGACCGACCCCAACTATCCATTCACCACCACCAGGGTCAAGCTAAGCCCCTCTCCTTCAGACCGACCCCAACTATCCATTCACCACCAACAGGGTCAAGCTAAGCCCCTCCCCTTCAGACCGACCCCAACTATCCATTCACCACCACCAGGGTCAAGCTAAGCCACTCCCCTTCAGACCGACCCCAACTATCCATTCACCACCAACAGGGTCAAGCTAAGCCACTCCCCTTCAGACCGACCCCAACTATCCATTCACCACCAACAGGGTCAAGCTAAGCCCCTCCCCTTCAGACCGACCCCAACCATCCATTCACCACCACCAGGGTCAAGCTAAGCCACTCCCCTTCAGACCGACCTCAACTATCCATTCACCACCACCAGGGTCAAGCTAAGCCCCTCCCCTTCAGACCGACCCCAACCATCCATTCACCACCACCAGGGTCAAGCTAAGCCACTCCCCTTCAGACCGACCCCAACCATCCATTCACCACCACCACCAGGGTCAAGCTAAGCCACTCCCCTTCAGACAAACCCCAACTATCCATTCACCACCAACAGGGTCAAGCTAAGCCACTCCCCTTCAGACCGACCCCAACTATCCATTCACCACCACCAGGGTCAAGCTAAGCCACTCCCCTTCAGACAAACCCCAACCATCCATTCACCACCACCAGGGTCAAGCTAAGCCACTCCCCTTCAGACCGACCCCAACTATCCATTCACCACCACCAGGGTCAAGCTAAGCCCCTCCCCTTCAGACCGACCCCAACTATCCATTCACCACCACCAGGGTCAAGCTAAGCCCCTCTCCTTCAGACCGACCCCAACTATCCATTCACCACCAACAGGGTCAAGCTAAGCCCCTCCCCTTCAGACCGACCCCAACTATCCATTCACCACCACCAGGGTCAAGCTAAGCCACTCCCCTTCAGACCAACCCCAACTATCCATTCACCACCAACAGGGTCAAGCTAAGCCCCTCGCCTTCAGACCGACCCCAACCATCCATTCACCACCACCAGGGTCAAGCTAAGCCACTCCCCTTCAGACCGACCCCAACTATCCATTCACCACCACCAGGGTCAAGCTAAGCCCCTCCCCTTCAGACCGACCCCAACCATCCATTCACCACCACCAGGGTCAAGCTAAGCCACTCCCCTTCAGACCGACCCCAACCATCCATTCACCACCACCAGGGTCAAGCTAAGCCACTCCCCTTCAGACAAACCCCAACTATCCATTCACCACCAACAGGGTCAAGCTAAGCCACTCCCCTTCAGACCGACCCCAACTATCCATTCACCACCACCAGGGTCAAGCTAAGCCACTCCCCTTCAGACAAACCCCAACTATCCATTCACCACCAACAGGGTCAAGCTAAGCCACTCCCCTTCAGACCGACCCCAACTATCCATTCACCACCACCAGGGTCAAGCTAAGCCCCTTCCCTTCAGACCGACCCCAACTATCCATTCACCACCACCAGGGTCAAGCTAAGCCCCTCCCCTTCAGACCGACCCCAACCATCCATTCACCACCACCAGGGTCAAGCTAAGCCACTCCCCTTCAGACCGACCCCAACTATCCATTCACCACCACCAGGGTCAAGCTAAGCCACTCCCCTTCAGACCGACCCCAACCATCCATTCACCACCACCAGGGTCAAGCTAAGCCACTCCCCTTCAGACAAACCCCAACTATCCATTCACCACCAACAGGGTCAAGCTAAGCCACTCCCCTTCAGACAAACCCCAACTATCCATTCACCACCAACAGGGTCAAGCTAAGCCACTCCCCTTCAGACCGACCCCAACTATCCATTCACCACCACCAGGGTCAAGCTAAGCCCCTTCCCTTCAGACCGACCCCAACTATCCATTCACCACCACCAGGGTCAAGCTAAGCCCCTTCCCTTCAGACCGACCCCAACTATCCATTCACCACTACCAGGGTCAAGCTAAGCCACTCCCCTTCAGACCGACCCCAACTATCCATTCACCACCAACAGGGTCAAGCTAAGCCACTCCCCTTCAGACCGACCCCAACTATCCATTCACCACTACCAGGGTCAAGCTAAGCCACTCCCCTTCAGACCGACCCCAACTATCCATTCACCACCACCAGGGTCAAGCTAAGCCCCTTCCCTTCAGACAAACCCCAACTATCCATTCACCACCAACAGGGTCAAGCTAAGCCACTCCCCTTCAGACCGACCCCAACTATCCATTCACCACCACCAGGGTCAAGCTAAGCCCCTTCCCTTCAGACCGACCCCAACTATCCATTCACCACCACCAGGGTCAAGCTAAGCCCCTTCCCTTCAGACCGACCCCAACTATCCATTCACCACTACCAGGGTCAAGCTAAGCCACTCCCCTTCAGACCGACCCCAACTATCCATTCACCATCAACAGGGTCAAGCTAAGCCACTCCCCTTCAGACCGACCCCAACTATCCATTCACCACTACCAGGGTCAAGCTAAGCCACTCCCCTTCAGACCGACCCCAACTATCCATTCACCACTACCAGGGTCAAGCTAAGCCACTCCCCTTCAGACCGACCCCAACTATCCATTCACCACTACCAGGGTCAAGCTAAGCCCCTTAAATAAATTAAAGACCTATCTTTTTTAATTTGGGGCAATTTTAGTGGTATCACTGTTTATGTTTTATGGTTCTGTGATATAACTATTTCTGTTTGTTTATAAATTGTATTTGATTATGTCCCTATCTTGTCTTACTCTGTAAACTAAAGCAATACATCTTGCATGACAGATGCTATATAAATAATGTATTGATATTATAATTATTAAATGTGTGTGTTCTATAGATTATCTAGCATTTCAGTCAGACAACTCACGTGTTTCTAAAAGTATGTTTATTAGAAGCAGCATAACGTTTAAGTTTGGCGTCTAGCCTACAGGTGGAAGCTGGGGTGGTGGTGGGGCAGGGGAGCAGCAGCAACATGGAACACAGCAGCAGGAACATGAACGTAGCAATAGCAAGTGAACGCAGCAGTGGCAGCAGCAGGTACATGAACGTAGCAATAGCAAGTGAACGCAGCAGTGGCAGCAGCAGGTACATGAACGTAGCAATAGCAAGTGAACGCAGCAGTGGCAGCAGCAGGAACATGAACGTAGCAATAGCAAGTGAACGCAGCAGTGGCAGCAGCAGGTACATGAACGTAGCAATAGCAAGTGAACGCAGCAGTGGCAGCAGCAGCAGCATAGCGAGGCAGAGGCAGGAAGACCTGGCAGCTTAAATAGAGCGGCATGTTTAGGAGAATGTGATTGGTTGGTTGTAAGAGGGACGAGGTGCGTCACGTGTTAATGTATGATTGGTGCTCGAGTTGACTGCCTGAACTAGCTCGCAGGCTTCGCCCCCTTTATGCTAAAATGGGACTAGGAACAAATGAAAGCAGCAGCAGAAATAGTTGGAGTTCTTTATTAAGGGAGGTGACTGTAGAAAAGGAGCAACATTTATTTTCAGCAACTTTACAGAAGTAACAAAAAAGGAATTGCTGGTTCTCTGGGTTCTCCAAACAAACAAAACACATGGCTGCAGAACAATGTACAACATACAGGCTTGGAGAAGGAGACGCATTTCATTCACCGAAACCAACCAATAGAAATGTCTCAATTTGGAACAATCTCATTAAACTGAATTACAATGAAGATCAAATTTACAAATTTAGGAACCTGGGATTTTAAATTAGTGCACATTACATTAGCATGTAACAGAAGTTAAAAAACATAAAATAATTGTACAAATGTTGTTACCTGGAATTAGACTACTTTTGAATACTGGGAGCAGCTGTCTAAGGCATCTTTAATTCAATAGAAAAAAGATCTCGAAGTCCTATACAAAGCAGGAATGAAGCTATACAATGTCACATTATATTTTATTCCTTACACACTGTACAAAGTCTGTTTCCTTCAGGCCGGCCACGCCGACCACAACACTAGGCAGCTTAACTTTTGGGTTTTTAATATCCTACATTTACGGTGTCTACCAGACACACACTGTATTTACATTATGCAGACATGAAATACAAACATAAATATGAGCACGCTCTGTCTATCCGTCCCCCGATAGCATGTCTTCAGACACATTCTTGAAAAAATACACCAAATATTGGCCACCTGCATGTAAGCTTAAGTTTATCTGTCGCCCCTTGTGAAGCACTTTGAGGAAAATGCTTCAAAGTAAATAAATCTGACTTTAGCTTTTTGGTCAAAGCTGTTTAGCATGTATTGAAACAGTGAAAACTCAAAGCAGAGGTACCTGCTGTCCGATGGCAACGTGCTAATTTGACCAAAAAGCTTATTTTACAATAGCTTGGTGTATTTATCTAAACAAAAGGAACCCCCGCACACATTTGACTTCAAACTGTCAGGAAAAAGGTCAGTTAATCTTCAATATCTCAAAAAAAAATAAGCAACAATGTTTTCTGTAAAGCACGAGACATTAAAGTAAATGATGTGAATACTGTACAGTAGGTCTAATGCTGGTCATCTGTTTATCAACAAAAAGTGTTAATTTAGAATTAAAGCTATCACATAGCTGGAATAAAGGCATGTATAAAGCAACAAATCAAAGGCCTGAGAAAGATAACTTTTTCATCTTGGCGAGGGATTGTCAAGTTAGGCCAAATCATTGTAAAACTGATCGTATATACAGCAATGCATAGGCTACAAATCCTCAAATCAAAATGATACCATGAGTGAAGCAGAATAACAGTTACCCTAGTTATTTATTAGTACACATAGTGTAGGTAGGGCTGGGTATCGTTCTTTTTTTGATACCTAACAAGATGAAGTAGAAACATTTGAATAAAAAAACAAAAAACATTTCCGGTCCGATGTTAAAATAAAATGTCTAAAAACACAAGCAGCCATTCAAGAACCTAACAGAGAACTGTGTTAAAACCACCCAAATATGTGATAAAGAACAAGTTCTGAGAACGAACTCTAAGCCAAATATTAGAAATCTCAATAAATGACAACTTCGATACCCAGCCCTAGACGTACCTTTTGTAATATCGAAGATGGAAAACCAACTCATATTGAACTGAATTAAATCCTTAGCACCTGGAGACTTAAGAGACCTCTTTGACCGTATTTCTCAAACTTTATTATAAAAGTTGTTGTGATAGTTTGTTATTATTAGTTTATATACTTAATTATTGTTTCAGGGTTTACAACTCAGCCCCTTGACAACCCAGGGAATTAAAAAGTATTCCAGAAATGTGAACGTTTTTGCAGTACTTCTCTAAAAAAGAAGATATTTCTAGGTAGTTACATTGATTTATATGTGAAATAATGACATCAAGTTATTGATTCAGTCACAAACTCCTAAAAAACATGATACTTAACAGTTTCCTCTAAATTAATCCAATAATAATAAGAGTTTAATTTCCTTGAAGTTGGTAATAGATTACATCCTGCTTTTATATCATTAACATACTGACCAATCACTCAGAACATTTGGTATAATCATAGTTGGTGTTCCACAAGGATCAAGCCTGGGTCCTCCATCATTCTCTAATTATATGTTTGAACTTTGTGACATTACACCTAATCATAATAGAAGACTTAAGCCCCTTAACCAGCTTTTCTTTAAGTCGAAATGTTCCTTAATCTTGACCAAAATGGTCAATACTTGAAATGTAATGTTCAATCTTGCATATCTCAGACTAAGCCAAATGTATTTAATTTATTTTGTAACGTTTTCTGACATTGATATGTGTCCTTAATGTTGTATTTGGACTACAATATGTATAATTTCCAGCTGGATGTTCACCAATATATTACTAAACTGCTCAGATTTCCCTATTTTCTTTTGAAGTTGATTTTGAAATATCCATTTTTTTTTTTAAAGGCTCAGTGACTTCTGGTCCTCGACTGCATATGAAAACTTTTTCTAAGCCAGAGACTGAAAGATTTCTGCTGTTTTGTTTTAGTCCTTGTCTTTACATAGTCTTCTGCGTCTCATTTCTTTTTCTATGTCAAGATCTGTTTACATATTTGTGAATGAATTTCTAACAATTGTATACAAAATTGTTAGTTTATTATCATTAATAATGTTATGTTTATTAGTATGAATACACACACTTTAAAAAATAGCCAATGTAAACTTCTAAAGGTTTCCAAAAGTCTGTAAGGGGAGTTCATTTTTTGTGTTTAACTGTTTTTTAGGGGGATTTACAGGTTTTAAATCAGCAGACACTCCTGCTAAAACACAAATAACTTAAACATCTTAAACACCACTTATTACCATTTCAATGAGGTAAAACATATTTCTATGAAATGTACAAAACAATTGTATTATTTTTGCCTTTTTTGGTGCTTTAAAGCCAATTTTTAGGAGCTCTTACTCACTACAAACAAGTGAAAAACCAAGTGGGGGAAATAAAAAAATACAAAAAGAGGGGAACTGTATATAGAGTCTTGTGGTCTTGGCGTCTGAATAATAACATGTATGATCTTCATCCAGAGAGGTTTATAAATAAGCAAATAAGCGTCTGAATCCCCATCATTTTTTGCACGGTCAGTCGGAGCTCGAGGAAAAAAAGATACATAAAACTATTATTCAAACGTTTGCTGGATCCGTCTGAAGTCCACTAGGAAGGTTTTATTTGTACACCACGCTACACAGTGTCCAGAGTGAGAGAGGATATAGGGACTTTTTTTGGAGTATTTCCCATAACGGGAGAAGTCACAGACACTCCCTTGGTATCGTCTCCTCTGCCCCTCCGTCCTCTAATACAGTCTTTAGTTTCATAGAGTTTGTCTGTGTAAACGTTGGGCAGCAGCTCACAGGTTCTTGGTGTTAATGTGAGTCTTATAATGCTTCGTCAGGTGGTCACTCCTCATGAAGCGTTTCTGACACTGGGTGCACTCGAAGCGCTTGTCTCCTGTTGGGGAAACAAACAGAAAAAGGTTGTGATAATGTTTTTAATGTCACAGAGAATATAGGGACAAGCTTTCAAACACATTTTCATAAACGTTTTACCTTAAGGGTAAGCAATAAAACCAATATTATCATGACATTTTTGAGGGCCTGTGTCCACATAGAGTCTTTTCCTGAGCAGTAACATTGTTTTTTTACTAATTCCAAGAGAACAGAGTTTAATCAATCATATACTAACAGATATTGAGTGAATGTGTGTATTCACGTGTGTGTTTCAGTGTCTCCAGCAGACGGACCTTTGTGCATCCAACTTTCTTTGAGCATATTAACAAAACTGATTTGACCAGCTATATGTGCTTAGCGAGATTTTAAACAGTGTAGCATGGTTTACACTCTCTGTATAAGAGATATTGTGGAGTGAATGTTTGTATTCAGTGTATTCACAAGTGTTTCAGTGTCCAGCAGACGGACCTGTGTGCGTCCTGGCGTGCCGCTGCAGTTCGTCGCTGCGTGTGAATCGTTTCCCACAGAAAACCCAGTTGCAGACGAAGGGTCTCTCTCCGGTGTGCAGCCGGACGTGAGCTCTGAGAAGCGACGTTTTCCTGAACGTCTTCTCGCAGCCTATAACGTGACAGATGTGCTTCCTCTTCCCAATCTCCCCCGGCCTGCAGAGCGTAAACACACGGTGAGAAGTGAGATATATTTACAGGTTTACATCAGGGTAGAGCTGAGCATTCAAAAGGTGAATGGATTTGAGATAAAAATGGACATAAAAGCGTAAATTGTTCTGTTCGTGCAAAACATTTAGATTTTTAGTACCTAAACTTAACTTACAAGGAATAAGATTTGTAGTTATGTTTTGTTTTTGTCAGTAGATCACTAAGATATGACTTTATCGGAGAAATCTCTGTACCTTTCATTTTTTTGGTGGGACAACATGATTGTTATTCTTAAACAAGTTCACAAAATGTTTTTTAGCAGGTAACTTAAAATCTGTCCATTATAGCCATGCCCGGCGCCGTGGGAGGGCCAGGGAGGGCCAGGCCCTCCCATTTGACAATCCTGCCCTCCCCCAATAAACACGTTTTTTATTATTTATAAAAATAAAAAAATATATATATTTAATTTTTTTAATTATAAATAAACTGTGAACTTTTATGCTACGATGTATGTGATGTCAGAACAAAACAAAAAAATCGCAGGCTACGTCAAATAAATGCATGTGTCTGTGATTCGTCCCCATTTAGACCAATCACAGCGTCACACTCTGCCGCCTATTCTGGATTTGTTTATTGTGCATTCTGTAGACTCCCATTTCTGTTTGCATTACAAAATGGACATCAGAAATTGGCTCCAAAGGTCTAAGGATTTATTAAAACGAAATAGCGATGAAAGAACTGCAGCCGATGGTGCTGCTGGCGACCCTGCACCTGCCGTTGCAGCAGCACGCCTTAATGTCACAAGCTTGACCTCGACAAACCCCGGGGTTGAGTTAGCGATGATCTTGGGGTTAATAAACCCAAGCAGGTGAAGCTGGATCGTTATCCAGGGAGATTGTTTTCAGGAAAGAAGCGCACTTTTGCCGCTGCATGGTACACAACAGACCATGGTTTGAATATTCGTTAAAAGCAGACGCAGCCTTTTGTTTCCCCTGTAGACAGTTTAAAGTGAATACGTCTTCATCTGATGCGGCTTTTACTGTCAACGGTTTTTGCGACTGGAAACACGCATTACAGACTGATAAAGGACTGCTAAGGCATGCCGCATCAAAAGAACACATTTCATGTGAGAGTTTGTGGAGAGACAGATACGCGAGGAAACAAATAAGGAAATGAGTACTTTGGTGCAGATCAGCTGGCACGGAGCCGTTATTACGTGTCAGCTGTCGTTTATATTATAGCTTTTTTAGCTGTCAACCTTGCTCGTGATTTACCAGTGTCTGTGTTGCCACGCACACAATGTTTCAAAGTGGTTGCTATGTTGCCCTTTATTTGTGTATGTTTGCGATAAGTGTGCGTCTTTACGCAATGCTGTTGGCCTTGCTGTCTGATATATATTGTGCCGCAGGCCCGCAGCACGTGACGGTTTTGTGTGCCCTCCCATGAAAATCATAGGCCCTCCCTTTAAATTTGTTCTGGCGCCGGGTCTGATTATAGCCATGTCCAGTTGGTAATGTTTTTACTTTATAAATTACATTTCATAATTTAGCTAATTATAATTATTAAGTTAAGTATCTCTCCCAAGCACATTTCGACAGGTTGATCAACTCACTGACTCTCTAATTGGACAGGACGCCCATTTATCCCCTTAGCCCCAGACACCCTTAAATCCATATTATTCTAAAACAGTTCAAGGTTAGTTTATTGTATGATAATAATAATAATAATAATTATTATACATGATACTTGTATAGCGCTTTTCTAGACACTCAAAGACGCTTTGAAAGAGGAAAAAAAAACAAAGAAAAATACAAAAAGATATCCAGAAAATAGGGGGGGGGGGGGGGGGGGGGTCAGTGGTTGGATGCAGTGTTGAACAGGTGGGTTTTGAGTGATGTTTTGAATGCGGTGAGGGAGGAAGAATCTCTGATGGATTGGGGTAGTGAGTTCCAGAGGGTGGGTGCAGCAACGGAGAAGACTCTGCCGCCCCATGACTTGAGGTTGGTCCGGGTGGGGGGGGGTGGACAGGAGGTTGGCAGCAGCAGAGCGGAGGGAGCGAGTGGGAGTGTGTCTGCGGAGGAGGTCAGTCAGGTAGGATGGGGTCAGGTTATGGAGGGCTTTGTACGTCATCAGGAGGATTTTGTACTGAATGCTCTGGGGGATGGGGAGCCAGTGGAGCTTGATGAGGACGGGGGTGATGTGTTCACGGATTCGGGTGTGGGTGAGTAGGCGGGCGGCGGAGTTCTGGATGTATTTTTGCAGGTGAACCATAGAGGAGGCTGTTGCAATAGTCCAGACGGGAGGTAATGAATGCGGGGATGGGGGTTTCTGCGGCAGTGGGGGCGAGGGATGGACGTAGATGGGCGACAAAGACACAGAGGCAATTCAAAGTGCTTCACATAGGCATTTAGGACATAATAATTAAAAACAAAACAAACACACAAACAAAAACTAAACAAGACAATTCATAAAAGCGATAAAAAGTGATGTATCTTAGATTAATGTTTCCCCAAAAACAGGCAAGGTAAAGTGTAATTCAAGCACATATTCGTCCGTCTCTTGACTCTCTCACCTTTTCTCTGCGTCTTTACAGTTGGGGCAGGTGCAGGCCATGCGTCTCTTCTTCTCTCCCTGCTGTCCGGGCAGCTCCAGGGTCAGCGTCTGCTCCATCTGGAGGGCGGGTTGTCCCGGAGACGTTGCCAGCTGGAGGCCTCCACCCTGTATCGCCTGAACTGTGAGGTGCTGCTGGCCTGACAAACACAAACACACACACACAGTTAGAGACACCTGAATCTGTTAGAAAAATCTCCCTGGTCCCCGGCTTGAGCTTCAACATCAGGATCCATGTATTTGTGATCCTCTCCAGAATGGAAGTAGTCATCACACACAGAGCATCAACTAGTTCCTGAACAGTGTCCTTCACATGCTGATATCCAAGAGAGGGAGTTACTCAGTCACAAGATGGAGGAATACTGGTTCTTCTAGGTCAGGCCTATTCAAATGCCGGCCCGTGGGCCAGATGCGGCCCAGAACCAACTCCCGAGTGGCCCAGCCTCCCGTGGCCAAATTCCTACACTAGTACAGACCATGAACGCAACACTCCGCGTTGCATAGAAACCACCAAACCACAACGCAGCACGTTTTTTGAAAGTGCATCTAGTGGTGCTAGTAACGGTGGTCATATGATAGCAACTCTAAAACATGTCTCTCTCAACTCTGAAGCGTTAACAAAGACAAAACTGTCATTGATCTTGTGGAGCAGATGCGCGAGTCATTGCCCAAGTCAAGCTGGACCTTTTCGCGACCGACTTGAGTACGGGTCGGATGCTGCATTTTCCGACGCTCCACAAACACATCACATCCCCGGCACAAATCACGGATGTGATGACAGATTTCATTGCGAGGTTGAAAGAGAACTTTGCCGGTCGATTGGATGGACTTGCTCTGCCCACAGAGGTGATGGGCTTTGCCAGAGACCCCTTCACTGTTGCAATAGAGGGGGGCGTATCAACCAGAGCAAAGGAAGTGGTCCCCTCCATCGACGAGGGGAAATTTACACTGGAACTTATTGACATGTGTAATGACATCCAAGGTTTCCTTTTGCCACTATAGAGCGGGGTTGACGACACGCAATCCAAGACAATAAGCAGCCGAAGGTTTTCAGTCAAAAAATGTCATTTATTAACAAAAAAGTATTGACTTAAATAGTCTCAAAATAACAAATCTAAATCAATATTTCGGCGGTATGCTTTCCTATATAAACTATACTTTGCAGTCCAATTTGCAACACTAATCTCTGTTTACAATTTGCGGTAGAAAAACTGTTCCGCTCCCCGTCTCATCAGGTCTCCGAGCACGCCGGCTGTCCTCAATTACCTCACTTAAATACACACCGGAAGGTACAAGGAAACAGATCATATTTACGATGTAAAATTAACAATCATTTCCTCAAAACATATTCACCATGGCAATATAAATCATTTTCCATCATTAAATCATTTATCAAATTATGAATCGAAATAATAACTTTGTGGCTCTAACACACCGGCCCCTAATTGTTGACGCAGTAGCAAAATAATTAATACATTATAATAGAGCCAAAAAACAAGCAGTTACTCAAAATGTAACTGTCATCAATATACAATCATTGTCATAGTTCACAGTCCAATGTTTGTGTTAGGTGTGTTTGCATGAGTTCAAGAGGAAAAGGGGGGGGGCATGTGTGTGTGTGATACTGGGTGTCAGAGGTTACTAGCACATGACACCTTGTGTTCAATCAACTGCTTCCAGGAGCAGACAGAGCTTGTCAATTGGTCGCTTCGGACAAGCCCTTTCGACCCTGACAGTGTCTTTATCACCCGGCCCAGTTGCCAGGAATTTCTTGGTGCAGTGTTATCCACGATGACGACGAGATCATTGGGGCAAAGGTTCCGTTTGGGGTTGTGCCATTTGACTCGCTGTTGCATGATTGGGAGATATTCTCTTATCCATCTCCTCCAGAAGAGATCTGCGAGGTATTGTGCCTGTCTCCATCTCCTCCGTGAGTACAAGTCCTCCTTGTGAAAGAGTCCAGGTGGCATAATCGGTTTTGTCTTTAGCAGAAGGAGGTGATTTGGCGTGAGGGGTTCAAAATCGTTTGGGTCACTTGAAACTGTAGTCAATGGTCTGTCATTCATGATGCTCTCAACTTCGCACAACGCTGTCTGTAGAGTCTCATCATCCAATCTCTGTTCTTTTAGAACGGAACACAGAATCTTTTTTACAGGTCTGATGAGCCTCTCCCAAACTCCACCATGGTGGGCTCCATATGGCGGATTAAAAGTCCATTTTACTCCGTCCCCGAGTAATGCATTTTGAATCTTGTGTTGATTCAGGTCTTTAAGAGCAGCTCTTAGCTCTTTCTGTGCTCCCACAAAGTTTGTGCCGTTGTCGGTCCTGATGCTTGTCACCTGCCCTCTGCGACATATGAATCTGCGCAAAGCATTGATTCAGGAGTCAGTGTCCAATGAGCTCGAAACTTCCAGATGTATGGCACGACTCACAAGGCAGGTGAAGATCACTCCCCAACGTTTTACATTTGCTCTGCCTCGTTTAACCTCCAGGGGTCCAAAGAAGTCGATACCAACATGAGTAAAGGGTGGTAGATCTGGAGACACCCGATCCTCTGGGAGGTCAGCCATTTTCTGCTCTCCAACTGTGGCTAGCATTCTTCGGCAGAAAACACAGGCTCTGATTATCTTTCTGGCTGCCGAGTTAGCACGGAATCAGAATCTTTGATTTAGTCTTGAGAGCATGTGGCTTCTCCCCGAGTGTCCAATCTGCTGATGGATGTGGCCCAGGATCAGTTTGGATACAGTAGAGTCTCTGGGCAGGATAATGGGGTTCTTCAGATCCATTGGCATTGCTGATTTGCTTATTCGTCCTCCCACTCTTAGCATGCCTTCAACTAAGATTGGGTCCAGCTTTCTGATAGAGCTGCTTGCTCTTACTTGCCTTCCCTTCTCCAAAAGTGCAAGTTCCTGAGAGAAGTGACGTCTTTGCTCAGAGAGAATTATTGACCTTTCAGCTTCTCTAATGTCCTCCACAGACAGATGTTGTGATCCAAATGTCAACTTTAGCTTGTTCATTTTGTCCTTTAAGGATTTCAAAAGAGTCCAATCTGGGGCAAGGTCAGCCTTTGCAGATTTCCTTCTTTGATTTAGCAGAAGAAGAATTCCCCTTAATTTAAGTATCCAAGCAACCCCTCTCTGCAGTCTGCTCCATGATGAGTAATACTCAAACAGTTTGCTGGTTGGGTTGGTTTCGTGGACACTCAAACTGTTAACTGCTACGTCCTTTCTAACCTCTGGGTCCTCCTTGAGTTCTACTGAGCTTGATGCTATCTCCATGAACCTTTTGTCTTCACCTGACATTTCCTTCTTCTCTTCATAATCTTTTTCCGAGAAGTCCTGATTGTATTGTGTGATGAGGAGATCATTCAGGTTGGCTACTGATATTCTGTTGACCATTGTGACCACAGGTCCGGATTCCACAGCAGTACAAGCGTTGAGTGGTCCATTTACCACCCATCCAAACACTGTCCTGACTGCATATGGTCCATTTCCTTGACTTCTTATTATGTCCCAAGGTTCCATTGCCTTGGGAACATCAACTCCTATTAGAAGCTCTATGTCAGCATCAATTTCTCTCAGCTGTATGTCACTTAGATAAGGCCATCTTTCCAGATCCTTTTGGGTAGGTACATTTTCTTTTGAGACAGGAATCTTACTCTGTGTGTACACCTGAGGTAGGTCAATGTAAGTACTGCCATCTAAATGTCCTATCTCCAATCCTTTGAGTTCGTAACTCTTTACAAGTCGTTCCTGACCCATTGTTCGTAGAACGACTGTCGTTTTTCGTGCTTTGGGATTCAGCTGTCTCATTAGATTCTCTGTGCAGAATGACGCTGAACTACCGGGATCAAGAAAAGCATAGGTTGAGATAAACTTATCTCCTTTGTGAACCTTGACTCGAACAGGCACTATGGCTAGGGCACAATCCCTACCGGCCCCCAGTAGCTTCACCAGCCGAGACAAGTGCACTGTTGACCCAAGCTCCTTTTGTTTCAGTAGGGGGAGGCTTTTGTAGAAGTGGACTGTCAATGTGAAGTATTGTTGGGTGACTCTTTTGACATGTCAGCCTTTTCCTACAGTTCCTGCTCATATGACCCCTCATCAAACATCCAAAACAATAACCATTAATCTTCAAAAAGTCAACCTTTTCCTTGTGTGGATGATGTTTGAACTGATGGCAATCAGTCAGCACATGCTTGCCTTTACAAAAGTAGCAAAAGAGGCAGGACTGCCCCCTTGTGGCTGTTTGAAGGTGTTACGCTGCTCTGTGTTTGATGGTGCAGCGCTGCTCTCCTGATCACATGCTGCTGCGATGATGGTGGCGAAGCTGCTGCCTCTACTTTTAGGTGTTCTGTGGCTCATGGGTTGGCTCCTAGTGGCCATCCTTGGGCTAGAGATGTGGCGATCCTGTATATCCCCAAATAATGGGTCCAGGAGTATTTTAGCTTGTTTTTCCATAAGCTCCACAAGGTCACGAAATCTAGCTCTCTTCTTTGTTCTCTGTAATATCTCATAAGCCACTGTCCGCCATTTTTCTCGCAGTTTGTAAGGGAGTTTAGATATTATCGATCTTAGATTGGAAGGAATATCTAGTTCCTCCATGTACTTTAAATCTTGCATAGCATTGCAGCATCCTCTCAAATACATTGCATATGCCTGAAGCGCTTTGCCATCATCCGGTCTAATTGATGTCCAGTTCATTGCCTTTTCCAAATAAGCGCTGGTTACTTTGATCTCGTCCCCAAAGTGCTCCTTTAATAGCTTTTTGGCTTCTGTGTAACCTCTTTGGGTATCCATATGCAGGCAGCTGCGAACGAGATCTTTGGGCTGGCCGGAAGTGTACTGGTCGAGAAAGTAGAGCCTGTCATGACTGCGAGCTGTTTTATCCTCAATAAGGTGTTCGAAAGCATAAAGGACTGATATTCAAGTGGATCACCATCAAACACTTTTATCTCCATTGTTGGTAACAAGGTAAGTTTCTGCTGCATAATGATGAGGTCAGCAATATCTCTCTGTCTCTGTATAACAGTGTCCAGGTTATCATGGGTTTCAGTGCGTTGGGTGGAGCTATGCATTGTGGGCATTTTGAAAGGTCTAAACTGTATTGTGGGTTGCTGAGGGCGGCGAAGATTAATGAC